CGGCCCCAAGAGGGCCCCAAAAACTCCAAGGACGGCCCACCAGGGCCCAAGAGCGCCCATAACTGCGCCTCCAGAAGCCGAAATCATTGATTTTCCGATGGTTCTTGCAATATTTTAGCGTTCTCGTCTTTTTCGGCTTTCAAAAATCCATGACGGCCCAAGCAGCTTCCAGAATCGCCCCAGAACGGCCCCCCAAAAACCCAAGAGGGCCCCAAGACGGCCCAAGAGGGCCCCAAAACGACCCAAAGAGGCCCCCAAGACGGTCTAAGAGGCAGCGAAAACGGCCCAAGAGGACCACAAGGGGGCTCCAATGCGGCCGTGGGAGGCCCCCAAGACAGCCCCCGACGGGGCGAAACGGCGCAAAAGCGCCCCAAGACGGCCCAAGACGCCCCCAAGAGGCCCCAAGAGGCCCCCAACAAGCCTCCAAGAAGTCCTTTAGAAGCCTCCAAAAGGCCTCCAACAAGCCCCCCAAAGGCCACACGGCGACTGGTGTGTAATGTTATTCCCCCCCCTCTGGGCGAACTGCGGCGCAGCGCCAGCCAGGTGGAAGTTGGTCACTGCGGCGCCCATGATTGGAGCCGGCGATGGAAGGGAAGATGGGGAGGGTGTATGAAAAGGAGGGAAGGGGGAAAACCCCCAAAGAAGCCTTCAGAAGGCCAAAAGAAACTCCCAGGAGGCCTCTAAGAGGCCCCCAAAAGGCTCCCAAGATGCCCCGCGACGACGTGACTGTACGTGCTCTGGACGTGCACCCCGCGAAGCGAAAGGAATCCAAAGATTCCACAATTGCAACATATTGTATTGTGTTACATAATTATGTCTCCCCCCCTAACCCCCCCCTCTGGGAGCTGCGCCACACTGCCGGACCAAGGTAATCCCCCCTTCTGGGGTCCTAAAAACTTACAACAACCTACGGCAAATCAACAATTTCGGCCTCTTGGGCTTCTTGGGGCTCCAAGAGGGCCTCAAGATGGCCCTAAGACGGCCCAAGATATTCCCAACGGGGGCCCATGAGGCCCCCAAGACGGCCCCAAGAGGGCCCCCAAAGCTCCAAGGACGGCCCAACAGGGCCCAAAAGCGCCCATTACTGCGCCTCCAGAGGCCGAAATCATTAATTTTCCGCTGGTTCTTGCAATGTTTTATCGTTCTCGTTTTTTTCGGCTTTCAAAAATCCATGACGGCCCAAGCAGCTTCCAGAATCGCCCCAGAACAACCCAAAAAAAACCCAAGAGGGCCCCAAGACGGCCCAAGAGGGCCCCAACCAAAACGGTCCAAGAGGCAGCGAAAACGGCCCAAGAGGACCACAAGAGGGCTCCAATGCGGCCGCGAGAGGCCCCCAAGACAGCCTCCGACGGGGCGAAACGGCGCAAAAGCGCTCCAAGACGGTCCAAGACGCCCCCAAGAGGCCCCAAGAGGCCCCCAACAAGCCTCCAAGAAGTCCTCCAGAAGCCTCCAAAAGGCCTCCAACAAGCCCCCCGAAGGCCACACAGCGACTGGTGTGTAATGTTATTTCCCCCCCTCTGGGCGAACTGCGGCGCAGCGCCAGCCAGGTGGAAGTTGGTCACTGCGGCGCCCATGATTGGAGCCGGCGATGGAAGGGAATATGGGGAGGGTGTATGAAAAGGAGGGAAAGGGGAAAGCCCCCAAAGAAGCCCCCAAAAGGCCAAAAGAAACTCCCAGGAGGCTTCCAGGAGCCCCCCAAAAGGCTCCCAAGAGGCCCCGCGACGACGTGACTGTACGTGCTCCGGACGTGCACCCCGCGAAGCGAGAGGAATAACTTCTCCCTGTCGTACACCGAGGCCAGTTTTTAGGGCGGGCCGGACGTTTCGGCTGAGACTTCCTACCACTTACGACTATGATGCTTAACAACTAGCAGCCGTTTCACAAATTGAGGGCTGGTGATTTTCAAAATGTGGTTCTCGCCTTAGCACCGCGCACATTCGTTTTAGCAATGTGCAAGAGGATCACGGATTGAGGGCGGGTCGTTTTCAAAATGTGGCTCTTGTCTTAGCGCCGCGCACATTCGTTTTACATACTTTGCAAGAACTCCACGGATTGAAGGCGGTTCTTTTTCAAACTGTGGCTTTCGCCGCAGCGCCACGCACATTCGTTTTCAAAGTGTGCAACAATGTCACGGATTGAGGGCGGGTGTTTTTTTTTTTTTTTTTTTTTTTTTTTTTTTTTTTTTTTTTTTTTTTTTTTTTTCAAAATGTGGCTCTCGCCTTAGCGCCGCGCATATCCTAACATTTTGCAAGAGCTTCACTGATTATAGGCGGGTGATTTTCAAAATGTGGCTCTCGCCTTAGCGCCGTGCACATTCGTTTTAAACTTTTGCAAGAGCTTCACGGATTGAGGGCGGGTGGTTTTCAAAATGTGGCTCTCGCCATCGCACCGCGCACATACGGATTAACAAATTGCAAAAACTTCACGGATTGAAGGCGGTCCCGTACTTGTGACTCTCGTCTTAACGCGGCGCACACCCGTTATCAACATTTACAAGAATTTCACGGGATCCAGTGATCAATTTACAAGAAATTGTGTTTGGGAAGGATTCAGAATGATGCGGGTGCATCAGATATGTTGGTTCGCGGTGTGGGAATCCTCAAAATCGCGTTGTGGCGCGATTCTGGATCGTCCAGACGCAGCAGTCAGTTTAATCCGTGGCGTTGATATCCCGAGAACAATGTTTTGGCATGCTTTAAGGTCTTCAAACGGTCGTCTGCAACGAGGCAGATCCCCTCCTCCTCCTCCTCCTCCTCCTCCACCCCCCTCCCCTCCTCCTCCTCCTCCTCCTCCTCCTCCTCCTCCTCCTCCTCCTTCTCCTTTTCCTCCTCCTCCTCCTTCTCCTCCTGCTCCTGCTCCTCCTCCTCCTCCTCCTCCTCCTCTTCCTCCTCCCTCCCCTCCGCCTCCACCTCCTCTTCCCCCTGCCTCCTCCTGATTCCTCCTCCTCCTCATCCCCCACCTCCTCCTCCTCATCCTCCACCTCCTCCTCCTCCTCCTCCTCCTCCTCCTCCTTGTCCTCCTCCTTTTCCTCCTCCTCCTCTTCATCATTTTCATCGTCATCATCATCAACATCACAATCAACATCACCATCACACCATCATAATCAACATCACCATCACCATCACCAGCATCATCATCAACAACACCGTCACCACCACCAGCATCATCATCATCATCATCATCAACAACACCATCAACATCTTCACCATCTTCAGTACCGTTACGATCATCAACATCATCATCAGCATCAGCATCATCACCATCGTCAGCATCATCATACACATCATCATCAACATCAGCATCAGCATCAGCATCATCATCGTCACCACCATCATCAGCATCACTAGCATCGACACTGTGTTATCATCTTCATCATCGTCATCACCAAAATCAACACCTTCATCATGAGCATCATCAACATCATCATCACATCATCACACTCATAATCGTCATCAGCATCAAACTCATAAGCATCACCATCATGATCGGCATCAACATCATCATCAACAGCAGGAGCTTTAGCATCATTATCATCATCACCAGCAGCATCATCATCATCATCATCAACATCATCATCATCAACAACACCATCCATCCTCCACCTCCTCCTTCTTCTCCGCCTCCTCCTCACCACCACCAACTCCTCTCTCGTCCTCTTACTCCTCCACCTCCTTCTCCTTCTCCTCCACCTCCAGCTCCCATCCCCTCGTCCCTCTCCCATCCCCTCCGCCTGAATCTCCTCCTCCTCCCTCGGTCCGCGAGTCTGGGCGATCGAACGCTCTGCTTAAGCGAACTGTCGAGGCCGTCAGCTCCACCTCCTCCTCCTCCTCGTCCTTGTCCTTCTGCCACTCCCACCTCCGAACTCCTCCTCCATCTTCCTCCTCCTCCTCCTCCTCCTCCTCCTCCTCCTCCTCCTCCTCTTTGTCCAGTGAACATACTATGCTCCTCCTCGTCCTCGTCCTCCTCTTCCTGGTCCTCCTCTTCATCCTCTCCTCTGCCTCCTCCCACATCATCCTTCTCCCACTCCTCCTGGTCCTCCCTGTTCTTCCTCCTTTCCCTCCTTTCCTTTCTCCCCCCCGACCTCCTCCTCGTCATCGTCATCGTCATCGTCATCGTCATCGTCATCGTCATCGTCATCGTCATCGTCATCGTCATCGTCATCGTCATCGTCATCATCATCATCATCATCATCATCATCATCATCATCATCATCATCATCATCATCATCATCATCATCATCATCATCATCATCATCATCATCATCATCATCATCATCATCATCTGGGAGAACTTCGCGGGCTGGAAGGGCCGGAGGAGGAGCAGAAGGAAGAAGATGGGGCGCGGAATGCCCTTCCGAGAGGACGGCGGGGGTAAGCCCCCAAAGCCTCAGAGGAGAAGGAGCAGAGAGGGAGGACGAGCGAGGTGATCAACCTGCTGTGTTTCCTGGCGCTTCCATTTCCCCTTTCGAGACTGAGCTTTAGCTGTCGCACCCTCATGGGCGAAGAGGAGGAGGATGAGGAGGAGGAGGAGGAGGAGGACGGGGAGGAGGAGGAGGAGGAGGAGGAGAAATATGATGAGGAGGGGGCGGAGGAGGAGGAGGAGGAGGAGGAGGAGGAGGAGGACCGACGAGGCACGAGCGGGAGCGGGGGACAGCAGGAGCCGTGAGGTGGAGGAGCTGCGGAGCTGCGCATGATGCGGCCACATCGGTTGCTCTCGGCCCCCCGGCAACCTCAAACAGTCCTGGCCAGCGGCCGTTCGCTGGGCCTTCTCGGTTTGGAGGAGGGGGAGGGGGAGGAGGAGGAGGAGAGGAGGAGGAGGGAGGAGGAGGAGGAGGAGGAGGAGGAGGAGGAGGAGGAAGGAGGAGGAGGAGGAGGAGGAGGGAGGAGGAGGAGGAGGAGGAGGAGGAGGAGGAGGAGGAGGAGGAGGAGGAGGAGGAGGAAGGCTCGGATGCCGCGCCGCGCCCGCCGAGCCGAGCGGGGGGGGACGGGGGGCCGGCCGGCCTGCCAGCACGTCTGCACCACGTGCCTCCCCGCCCCACCCGTCCTCCTCGGCTCCCCTGCGCAGTCTCCAGGCTCTCGTCGTCCTCGAGATCCCCCTCCTCGCTCCTCCCCCTCCTCCTCCTCCTCCTCCCTCCTCCTCCCGTGCTCCTCGTGCTCCTCCTCCTCCTCCTCCTGCCTGCTTCTCTTCCTCCTCCTCCTCCTCCTCCTCCTCCTCCTCCTCGCTCCTCCGTGCTCCTTCTCCAAGTCGTTCCTCCTCCTCCTCCTCATCCTCCTGCTCCTGCTCCTGATCCTGCCTCTGATCCTCCTCCTCCTCCTCCTCCTTGCTACTTCCATCTCCAAACATTGCTCCTCCTCCTCCTCCTCCTCCTCCGCCTCCTCCTCCACCCTCTCCTTCTCATCCGCGCTCTCTTCCTCATGCTGTTCCTTCTCCTCCACCTCCTCCTCCTCCTCCTCACCACCACCACCACTCCCTCCTCCATCCCTCCTCCTCCTCCTCTGCGTTCTCGTCCTTCCTTCTCCTCCTCCTCCTGTTTCTCCTCCTGTTTCTCCTCCTCCTCCTCCTCCTACCCCCCAGGAGCCGTTGATCGATGGCGAGCTGTTAGAGACACGCGAGCAAAGCGTCAATAATGACCCGCAAGGACAAAGAGAAGGTCTCTCTCACACGCTCCATCCGCGCTCGGCGCAATACGTCCTTGCCTGAAACCCACTGCACCGACTGCAACACACCTTCAATCGGGTCAAAAGATGGGGAGGATGATGGCAGAAAGCGGCTTGCAGTCAACCCGTAAAGGCGAACGATAAGGATGCACGGGCCTTGGAAGGCCATGTCGGCACTTTGCGGGCGGGGCGCGGTCAACGAAACCGGCCAAGGATGGGCCAAAGGGGAGGGATGCAAAAGCAACCTGGGGAAACTAAAAGGTACCGATACTGCTACTCCCCGGACCTCTCACGAAGTGCGATCTGACCAGATTCGCGAAGCGAATCCAGTGGTGGCAACGAGGGTCTCCTATGAGGCCCAAAAAGGGAGAGAACGAGGGAAAGGTAGCGGCATGGGTACCCGCACAGAAAGGATGAGCGACTCTCCGATAGCCCTGGAGAGTCGCTCATCCATACTTCGGGGACACGTGAGACTCGGGTTCGGGGGACTTGGGTTGGCCTCACGGGGCCATCACGAAACTGACGAGTCCCATGGGAAATGTGGCGCGAACTCCCGCTGCAATAATCCTACGGAAACTGGCGCGCTCGTCAGAAAGCGTTGGCAAACACGAGTTCTGGCGAACTCGAGCCACACGTTCCCCCCGATTCCTGTGCGGGCTGCCCCGGCAGCGAAGCGGGCCCCGAGGGCAACGGGCCCGTCTGGCCCTGGGTGATGGGCGTGTTTTCCACCACCACCACCACCACCACCACCACCACCACCACCACCACCACCACCACCACCACCACCACCACCACCACCACCATCACCACCACCACCACCACCACCACCACCACCACCACCACCACCACCATAAGCTGGAGGTGGGAAGGAGGAGGACGAGGAAGAGGAGGACGAGGAGGAGGAGGACGAGGAGGAGGAGGACTCCCTCCCCCTCCAACTTATGGTGGTGGTGGTGGTGGTGGAAAACAGGCCCATCACTGATCACTGGGGGCGCTCCCCCACCTCCCCGGGAACGAGCTCCCCGTCCTGCATGCGTCCATGGCAGTTCCGGGCCCCTCCTCTCTCGGGGGCGCGCAAGCATGGATGTCGATCCATGGATTTGGTGAGGCAAACAAGCAAGTCCGGCCGGGCGACTCAGAGAGCCGCTCGCCCTATTCATAGGGACGGGAATGAGGACAGTATGAAACAGCGCCTACACCTGTACACAAACCATGAACAGCACACCTCACATCAGACAGAATGCTCGGCATCAGCTCGGTGGCGTCCTCGACGGGGCAGCCTGGCGAGTCGAGTCGAAAGCCGTGCCCTGGCGTGGACCTGCCGTGGTGCGCGGTCGCCAAATCCATGGATCTGGGGAGGTGCCCTCCCCAAAGTGCGGCCGGTGCCGCTTCGTTCGGCGGCGGAAATCCGCGATTTCCAATGGAAACGGGACCCGTCGCTAATCCACGCCCCCTCCTCCCGCGCGTCGGGGGGCCCCGGGCCAGCCACATCCTGGTGCGCTCCCCCCAGGACGAGCTCCCCCCTCTCGTGGCGTGTGCTGACGCTCCCAGGCCCCTCCCCGCGGTGTTGGGGCCCCCCAGCCAGCCACGGCCTTCCTGCAGGACCCCGCTTCCCTCGGGGCCCGTCTGCGTCATCGTTGCGATGCATGCACACGCAACATGTTGTCCCCTCCCCCGGGGACAAGCTCCCCACCCAGAGATCCAACGTATTGAAAAAATCAAGACGGATTTTTTTCGCCTTGTTCGGCCTCCAGAGGCCCTCACCGGGCCCCGGGACCGTCAAAAATCGACTCAGGATGAAAAACCGGCCCTGGGAAAAGGGTCGGGACTGCACGGGACCCCGCATTGAAAGAAACACGACAGCGGATCTCTGGGCATCCTGCAATTCTTTGGCGCTCCCAGACCCCTCTCTGCAAGTAGGGGGCCCCAAACCAGCCACAACACTCGGGGTTTGCCAAGAGGTGCCTCTGGCCCAGGGTGCCCCCAGCTTGGGGGCCGTCGGGGGCCTCCTTGGAACTCCTGGGGGGCACCTTGGGCCAGCGGCACTTCTACATCAATCCTTGAAATCAAACGCAAGTTTTTCCCGCGACGCGGCGGTGCCCCAGGACCCCAAAATTCCATCGTTCGCGCCGAAATTGGCGGCTGCAAACACAACAGTCTGACCCCGCGGGCGGCGCTTCGCGACCCGACCAATCTTCAAAACTTGCGTTTGACTTCGAGGAGGGTTGTCGCAACATCCGAAACCTTCCTGCAGGACCCGCTTCACTCAGGACCCGGTTTGCTTCATCCCTGCGACGCATGCAGCACGTTCTCCCGCCGCCGCCCGGCGCCAGTGCACACGGGCACGCGCCGGGCGGCGGGGCTGGGGAACCCGCTGCGTGCTGCAGATCCCGTGCCACGCCCACCCTCGCAATCTTGGGTGGCAACTCATGGGAGCCTCCCGTACCATGTCGTCAGCTCTTGCGAATCGACACTAGTAAACGCTCAGTCGACGCTAAATCGACACTAAGTCGACGCTAAATCGGCGCTGAATCGGCGCTATCTCATCGACTCCCAGACGCTCACCGATGTCGATCGACGCTAAAGACGGAAATAAGAGGGTATACCAGGCTCCCATGACTTGCTACCGAACCAATCCCTCCATGTCGTCAGGTGCCTCCCAGATGGGGTCCGAGCAGACGGGGTCGGAGGAACGTGCCGCATCGTGGATGCATCGCCGATGCACTGGTCGACGTCGGCGATGCATCGGCGCCGATGGCTTGGATAACATCGGGATGCATCTGCAATGCGGAGCGACCTTCCGACCTGATACAGTCGGACCCCATATGGGCGGCCCAGCAACGTCCGACCTGATTTGGGCCCCCCCCCCCGGGCCCGCCCAGCTCGAGGATAGGCCGCGACGAGTGGCCATGGCGACTCCGTGACCACCTGCACCGCCGCGCGCGCCGCTGCCGCCGCCACCTGAAAAGGATCGGACCCAACGCGTACAGATACACTCGTGGAGGTCCGCGGGTTCCTTGGATCGACGCTTCATTGCACCAGTCTTGCAGACGTGCTGCCGCGGATTTCTGCGTGGATTTCTCTCAGTGCCACACCCCGAAATGGCGAGCGAAAAGCGACGTGACTTTCACGTGGATCTTTGGTAGTCTTCATTCCTGAACGAAATTATCCAGGACAATCCTGGCCCATCCCATTGTTTTCCAAACGAAATCAGCTCTGCGATGTTGGCGCCATGAGACGCTGAGCGCGCCAGGGACGATGCAGGATGCGCTGCCAAGAATTGTGCTGCATTTTCATGGGGCATTGTCTGTTCCGTCGCGCCGCGATTCACGTCGAATCCGTGTCGAATCCGAGTCGAACGCTTCGAATCCGTGCCGAATCCGTGTCGAATAATTGTCGAATCCACGTCGAATCCGCGTCGAGCACACGTCGGAGTACAAAGAAAGACTGCCATTTACGGAATAGGACAGGTCCCCCGACGATGCAAAAAGTAACAAAAGGTGGGGGGGGGCATCCGCGCGAACCTCCGAGCGTGAATGCTGATGGTATGTGCTTCTTCTTCGAGCCACGCGCACAGCTGCCGCGGCCACGGTGCCACTACCGAACGCGCAAAGGGGCCCAGGGACACAAAAATGAATAGACACCCCCCAATGTCACATTCTTGTTGAATAGGTTCTGGATGTTCGTCGTCTCCTCCACTTCCAACATTGTCTATATCTTGCGGGGAATCGACGATTCTTTGTGTCTGCATGTTCCCTACCTAGGCTCTGCCTAGAAGGGTTCTTACTGTCTTGGCTTAAAGGGGCCGGGCAGTGGAACTCGCCCCGGGCGGTTCCACCAGGGTCCGCCCCGCGGTTCCCCCAGTTACGTCCCCTTAGCTTAGCTTTGCTTATCTCATCTTAGCTTAGCCTAGCTTAACTTAGCTTAGCTTAGCTTAACCTAGCCTAGCTTAGCAGCTTAGCTTAGTTTAGCTTAGCTTTGCTTAGCCTAGCCTAGCTTAGCTTAACTTAGCACAGCTTAGCTTAGCGCAGCAGTAGCAGTAGCAGTAGCAGTAGCAGTAGCATAGCATAGCGCATCATAACATAGCGCAGCATATCATAACATATCATAGCACATCATAATATAACATAGCGCAGCATAGCATAGCACAGCATGTCATAGCATAGCTTAGCTTAGCGTAGCACAGCGCATCATAGCATAACACAACACAACATAACATATCATGGCATAGCACTACTACCGCTACTGCTACAACTGCGACGATGAGGAGAAGGAGGAGGACGGCGTTTACCGTTACTACTAATCTTGCTCTACTCGGGGCTCCAACTCCTAGGTAGGGTCGCTCTGGGATAATTTTTCCCTCCGGAACCTGTACGCCCGAAGCGCGCCGAGCCGGGCAGGCACAAAGGGGATATAGCGAGAGAGCTGGCGACCGAGGGGGCGGCGGGATCGGACCTCCGCACGCGCATGTGAACACCCCTCTGTCGGTAGTGAGCCGTGCGCGCAGCGCCACGGCAGTCCCAGTGGAGGGTCCTCCTCCTCCACCTCCTCCTGCTCCTGCTCCTCCTCCTCCTTGGAGGGAGGGCCCGAGCCAGGGCAAGCCAGGACGACGCACGGGACCCCAGCAAAGACGGCCGCAGCAGGCGGGGGGGCGGCGAGAGTGGGTCCGGCACTGGAACTGGAACTGGAACTGTTCCGGTTCCGGTTCCTGGTTGCGGTTCCGGTTCCGATTCTCGATTCGACTGGAACTGTTCGAATTCGGGTTCGGGTTCGGGTTCCGGTTCTCGATTCGGCTCCGGGGGTCCGGCACTGGAACTGGGACTGGAACTGTTCTGGTGCCGGCTCCAATTAATGATTCCGCCTTCCGGTTCTGGATTCGGCTCCGGGTCCGGCACTGGAACTGGAACTGTTTCGGATCCGGTTCTGGTTCTGGATTCGGCTCCAGGTCTGGCACTGCAACTGGAACTGGAACTGGAACTGGAACTGGAACTGTTCCGGTTCTGGTTCCGGTGGTTCTGGATTCGGCTCCGGGTCCGGCACTGGAACTGGAACTGGAACTGGAACTGTTCCGGTTCCGGTTCCGGTTCTGGTTCCGGTTCTGGATTCGGCCCTGGGTCGGGCACTGGAATTCACTGGAACTGGAACTGGAACTGGAACTGTTCCGGTTCCGGTGCTGGTTCCGGTTCTCGATTCCGCTCCGGGTCGGGCACTGGAACTGGAACTGGAACTGGAAAGTTCCGGTTCCGGTTCCGGTTTTCTTGCGCGGTCAACAAACACCCCATGAAAACTGGACCGCAAAAGCTCATGACGGTCCCGTCAGAAAGCGTCGGCGAGACCGGGTTCGGGCGACCACTGCTTGGCTTGTCCCCACCTCCTCGGCATCCCCACCTCCCCCACCCCCCCTCCTGCATGCCCCGCCCGCCTTCCCACCGCCTCGACCTCTTCCCACGCCACTTCGCACGCACCCACCTCCTCGAACTCCTGACTGCACCGCCTCCTACACACCTCCTCGACCTCCTGCCAAGACCTCCGACATCACGATCTCTTCACAGCGTGGAAACAGCGAGGTCTGGTCCTCCCTCGCCCTCCTCCTCTAACCTCCTTCCCCTCCTCCACCTTCCCCCTCCACTCCTACGCCTTTCCCTTTCACCTCCTCCTCCTCCTCCTCCTCCTCCTCCTCCTCCTCCTCCTCCTCCAATGCTATCTTGTTGGCTCTTGCGAGCCGGCGCTGCTCGACGCGACGCTAAATCGGCGCTAACCGACGCTCATCGACTCGAATCGACCTTCAACCGGCGCTCTCATCGACTACCAACCGCTAATCGACACTAGTGAGCTCTACAACTGAACTGCGAAGGTACGCGAAGCTCCCCTGAGCTGCTGCCTTCGAATACCTCCAAAAACCTCAGGCCTCGAACCTCGAAACCTCGAACCTCGAGACCCACCTTCTCCTCCTCGAGGCGCGAACCTCGAGCCCCTCCATCCCCGATCGTCGGCGAGCGAGCCCGGGGGGGGGGGAGTGAGAAGTGGCGGACCTTGTCAGAATGCTCGGAAGTCCCCCGCCGAACCTTGTGAGAAGCTCCCTCAGCCTTCCCCGAAGACACCAAAACCTTCCAGGCGGCCGAGGGGCGGAAGCCACGCCGCCTTCTGAGAAGGCCTTCTCATTCCCACTTCCCCCCTGGGCGCGCCGCCGCATTTGGTTTTTGGGTCATAACTCTGACTACCTACCAGACCACCCCAACCCAACCCGAAGACCCGAACTTGACCCGAATTTCGGGTTGGGGGGGGTATGGATACCATGTGTTTTTTCAACGTTCCCCGACCCCCCCCACTGCAAATGGAAGGCACATTGAGGGCTTCGGGTCGGGTTGGGGTGGTTTGGTGGGTGGTGAAACTCGGGCCTCCGGCGGCAAGTCAGGACGATCGGGGCACCCCCACGACGCCCTCGGCGAGGCACAACTGCTGGCAAACATCCCGAGGCCAAAGAACCGCCGAGAACTGAGGAAAGCGCCCGGAAACCTCGAGCCTCATAACCTCGAGCCCCAGTCCCCCCCCCTCGCTCGACGCCGACAGGGCGTCGAACCTCAAAGCTTCGCAACCCACCTCGAAACCTCGAGGCGCACCCCTCTCTTCCGCGAGGAGAAACGCGCGCGCGCCCCCGTGAGGGCGGGCGGGCGGAGCCGCCGCCACCACGGCCGCGGCCGCGGTGAAGCCTGCGGCGAGGCCAAGGCGGACCGCGCCGCAGACAAACAAACAAACACGCGCAGAGTAGAGCTCCCTTCCTGGACCGCCGCACCAATCCTCCGAGGACGAGGAGGAGACAAGCGGAGAGAAGGGAAGGAGGAGAGGAGGCGGAAAAGGAGGAAACGGAGCAGGAGCAAACGTTGCCCCAAATTGATTTAGGTGAATACGTGTCAGAGAAAAAATGAGGAGGAGGAGGAAGAGGAGGAGGAGGAAGAGGAGGAGGAGGAGGAAGAGGAGGAGGAACAAATGTTACCCCAAGTTGACTTAGATGAGTGAGTGTCAAGGGGGTTACCCAAGGATTACCCCAAGCTGACTCAGTCAGACCAGGCTACTTCGGGGGACTTCATCTGAGAAGCCGCCCTTCAGAAAAACGCCCCAAACCCCCATTCTGGTGGGGAGCTCGCGTCTTTCACACTTGCAATCTTTCGCCAGGTCCAGAATAGGGCCATTACCCTCTCTCGCCCGACGATCACATTTCGTGCACACCTAGTATGGGTCATAGAAAGCCATGCGATGTGTGAGGTATGCAACACGCGTGCCAACGAATACAAGAACACGATTCGGCTGGGGGAGGGGCGGGCCAAGACACTGGGAACCAATTCTGCAGTATCCCGGAACAAGAAACTTGTCTCACACTGCTGAGGCACCCAGCACAACTAAAACGAGTTTCTTTAATTAACTAACGAGTGGGCGGGGCCATGCTGCGCTCGGGCGAGGGCGGAGGGCCTGGTCCTCTGGGCGACCCGCTGTGCCTCGCGCGCCGTCGGCGGGCGTTCCTCGGTCTCGAAGGCGAACAACGTGGCCCGTGCGATGCGGAGCCGCACAAAGCACAACGTTGCAATCGCCCGCTTGTAGCATGAGAGCTGGGGGGCAGGGGGTGGCGTGGGAGGCGGCAGCGGCGGCGGCGAGATAGTCAGCAATCTGGTTGCCGATCCACGCCATCAAGGGCAGTCCCCGCGCCGACGACTCTTCTGGGGAGGGATGGCTGTTCAAGAAATGCACAAACATATGGGGCCTCACCTCTCTTACGGAATTCACAGCCAAGGGCCCCCCACAAATCTCCATTCACGCTCAGCCTGCGGGCCTCAAATGACGGCCCTTGTTCCAACCCTTTAACAAAATATCACTACCCGTCCAAAACTCAACTTCGACATCTCTGCATGATTGTTCGCCTGGCAAGGGCCTGTGTTGGGCGAGCTCGCGCCGCCGACCAGGTCGGGGCGCTCGGGCGCGGCCCGCGGCAAGCACGGCCCCGGCCGCAGCGACGGAAGCGCGCGTCCGCAGCCTCCTCGCCTCCGCTGCAATCGCCCTAGGCGGGGAGGCGGGCGCCCATCGTTTCCAGTCTGCCCGCGCCTGCGCCGCCGAAGGTGGTCAGCTCCTCCGCCGAGTCACAGGGCGGTGGGGCGGTCCGCGCTCTCGGCGCCATGCCCCGCAGCCAGAGTGCAGGGCTGTCGCGGTAGATGCCCTCCGCCTTGGGCCGCAGCCACTCGGCCCCCTCGAAGTCCTCGTGCTGCGGCCGCGCAGGGCAGACGCCCCCAATTGCGGTGGACGTCGTCTCCCACCACCCCGCAGCTGCACAGGCCCGAACCCCCGCGCTCCTCACCAAGGGTCTCGCACTTGCGTGCAGCCGTCCACGTGCTCGCCGCCGTCGCCTGGGGCAAAGCATTCGCCATGTCGGGCTTGCTTCTTCTCCACTTTCTCATGGTGAATTTCGCGTACCCTTTCGGGACCATTGCCCTGCTCGACATCCGACTGTGCGAGTAGAGAGGGCATCTGCGCCATGGTAAGGGATGGGAGGGAGTGTCGGATGTCAGATATGACGCGAGCGCACCTAGCTTGCCCTCTCCCCCTCCCCCTCGCCCTCCCCCTCTCCCTCCCCTTCGCCCTCCTCCCTCTCCTCCTCCCCCTCCTCCTCCTCGTCCTCCTCCTCCCCTCCTCCTCGTCCTCCTCTTCCTCCTCCCTCCTCCTCCTCCTCCTCAGGTCCTCCTCCTCCTCCTCCTCCTCCTCCTCCTCCCTCTCCTCCTCCTCCTCTTCCTCCTCTTCCTCCTCCTCCTCCTTCTCCTCCTCCTTCTTCTCCTCCAACTTCGTGCCTCGCGACCCGCGGTGCGGAGTTCTCTCCGCGGCCTCGACCCCCCCCCCCCCCCTGGGAGAAGAGCGCATCTCCAACCCGGGCTGCGGCGCGCGAAACGCGCGCCAGTCTTCGCGTCCCCTGGCGGTGGCCTACAGTGGAGGGCAGAACATCTACCCCGAGAGTAACCATCCCGACACGCGAGGCCGTTTAGTAAACGCGACCCCAAAGAAGGGATCGAACAGGGCAGGGCTGCTTAGTAAACGCCCAGGGCCGTCTCGTAAACGCCCCCTGTCCGGTCCGGGTGGCTTTTCCTCCCTTGCTATTGACGACGCACGAACGCCTCCAACCTCGAGCTGGTCCCCCCCCGGAGCCTACAGTCGGGCCGCTGCAACGAAGGAGCGAGAACTACGGAGCAAAGAAGGAGCTGCAATTAACGACCTCTTTTGACCCCCGAGGCGCCTGCGTCGACGAGGAGCGCCAGAGAAACAGCAACAGAAGGACCTTGGGAAAATCGAGCCCCGTGCCACCCACACTGTTCCTTATTTACACGTCTTGGCTGTATTTCTCCCGAAAGTTGCCCCTGACCCACCGCCCCTCTTTATGTGGCTCCTGCGGGGCCTCGTCTGTCCCCTCGCCGCAGGCGTCCGTGTCGAATCCGCGCCCACTCCATGTCGAACGCGTCGAGCCTGGGTCGAGTCCGTGCCGAATCCGCGCCGACCCCACGTCTAAGACGAAACCAGGGCGAAGACAAATTCGGAAGAGGATGAATCGAGAATCTCTGAGATCTGGCAATTCTGGAGGATGTCTCGGGCGCCGCGGCCTTCTCAAAGTGTTCCGGAAGATGCCCCCCGAAGATGCAGCGTGTGTGCTGCCCCGAGACGAGCGGCCCACCGTATCTCTCGGTTTGACCCTTGGGAGGCAACTCCTGGGAGGCCCTCGCCAGCACGGTACAAATTGGAGGCGTGAACATGGGCGCCAACACCAAAACAGGGGTTTGCCTCCACCAGGGGAAGATGATCCTAGATTTTGGTGTTGGCGTTCAGATTTCGGCCATATGGGTAGCACGAATATGACCACCATATCACCGAAACCAGGATCATCTGCTCTCGGTGGAGACACACCGCCGATATTGCTGCTGGTGTCAACCTTCAGGCCTCCGAACGAAGCGACGCAACCCGATCGAGGGTGCCATGGAGCTGGACTCAGCCAGCTTCAGCGCCGGGGATTCAGCGGGACGGAACCCCGGATTGAGATAAGTCCGAAACGAGAGGAGGCCCCGTGTCGAAGCCGCGTCCACTCCATGCCGAACGCGTCGAGTCCGTGTCGGATCCGCGGCCTGGGTCGGCGCCTGCGGCGGGCCAGCAAGGCCTGAGCCCGACGAGGCCGGCGAGGCCAGCCAGGTTCGCGGCTGGCGCTGCCTGGCCGAGCGGCCGCTGGGGCGCGGGCGCGGGGCCGCCCCCCGCCAGCCGGCGAGGCCCCCTTCGGGCCTGGGCGCGCGCGGCGCGCGTCCTTCCCCCCTCCCGCCCCTCCCCCACCCTCCCCGCCCCGCGCGCTTGTCGTTCGTCTGTCGTCCGTCGCTTTCGTCGTCGTGTCGTGTCGTGCCCCTGCACTCTGCCACTGGGCTCCCGTTTGCTGGTGAACGAAAATCTCGGACCCGTGCCGAGCCCACGGCTGAGTGCAGGGGAGGGACGCCAATTTCCAGGGCAGGAGCGCGGCCCCGACGAAGCAGCGGGGCGCGGTGGGCTGCCATCGGGGGGGGCCTGCCGCCGCCAGGATGCGGGCGCGGAAGAGGCAGGCGATCGCCACCATCTCCTGGCCGGGGCCCGCGCTCGGGGGCACGGGCAAGCCAGAGATCCGAGGCTCCCTGGAGGAGGAGGAGGAGGAGGAGGAGGATGAGGATGATGATGATGATGAGGAGGAGGAGGAGGAGGAAGAGGAGGAGGAAGAGGAGAAGGGAGGAGAAGGGGGAAGGGGGGGAACGTGCAGCCGTCGTGCCCGGGCCCCGGGGGGGGCGGGAGGGGCTCCCTTGGGGCACAACAGGGGCAACTCTTCCCCTCCTCCTCCCCCTCCTCCTCACTCCTCCTCCTCCTCGCTCCTCCTCGCTCCTCCTCCTCCTCGCTCCTCCTCGCTCCTCGCTCCTCGCTCCTCCTCCTCCTC